ACCTACGCTAAACCTTTCGTGAGAGTAGGATGACGCATATTTAAAATAAAACAGATTTTATTTATTTTATCGAATATTCGAATATATTCGAATACTGTCATTGAATATTCGAATATGAATTATTGACAAAATTGACATCCCTACTTTTTATTGAAGTGCTGTAAGAATATTTTTCCATACTAGGTCTACTTTGATCATGGACCCCCGTACCAGTGCCCAGGATGTGATGCGATGTGACCTGTGTGAGACTGCTGTGGTACAGATGCACTGTGATACATGTTTTGTCAACCTGTGTAAGGCCTGTGTGGGAGAACACATGATATCTGATGAATCCAAAAAACATGAAATTGTTCCATTCAAGCTCAGAAAATCCACTCCCCTCTACCCTGGATGTACTGGATGTACAACTCATAGCAAAGAAAGATGTGAAATGTTCTGTAATCGTTGTGACATACCTGTGTGTGCCACCTGCCTTGCTTCAGATCAACATTTAGGTCATAAATTATTGAAAGTTTTACAAATTCTTGATGAAAAAAAAGACAAGATTATCAAAATACAAACTGAATTAAAGGAGAATATTTATCCCACCTACCAGGACATTGCCTCTGATGTACAAAACAGAATGAGTCAGTTAGAAAAGGAATATGGAGATCTCTCAACAGCCATAACAAAACATGGAGAGGACTGGCACAGAGAAATTGATAAACTTGTCAAGAAACTTAAAGCTGAAGTTGATGAGATGAAAAACACACAGTTACAAACTCTACAGAAACATCTGGATGAAATAAACAAGAAAATGTCAGACATCAAGGATGAAATCAACTCAGTGGATGTTGCTGTGGATTCTAATAACATTTCAAAACTATTTAGTGTCATGTCTGAAATAGACAAACACAAAAATCTTCCAGAAAGAATTGTGCCCTCCATACCTAAATTTACTCCTGGAAAAATCCAAGCAGAACTCAGTAAACTATTTGGAACTTTATCATCAAGTTCTTTAACATCAGACAAACATGGCTACAGCATGAAGACAACACAGAAACCACCAGAAGCTGGATCCTCTTCTCCAGTCAAACAGCTGCTTGATCAACCAGAGACTGTCACCACCATAGACACTGGGTATAGAGAACTTTACAGTGTGGCCTGTCTGAGTAATGAAGAAATCTGGACAAGTGGACGTGACAACACCATGAAACTCTACAGCATCAATCAGGGATCACTACTCAAGTCAATCACAACCAAGTCAGGGAACAAACCATCTGACATAGCAGTGACAAAAAGTGGAGATCTAGTTTATACTGATTACAAAGATAGAACTGTGAACATTGTGAAGAATGAGAAGATAGAGGAGGTGATCAGACTACAGAACTGGATACCTCTCAGTGTCTGTAGTACCTCCTCTGGTGACCTCCTGGTTATCATGGACAGTGATGATAACAAACCAACAAAAGTTGTCTGTTACTCTGGCTCTACAGAGAAACAAACCATTCAGTTTGATGATAAAGGTAAACCTCTCTATTCATCTGGTGATTATATCAGATACATAACTGAGAACAGGAACCTAGATATCTGTGTGTCTGACAATGGATCTAAAGCAGTAGTGGTGGTCAATCAGGCCGGGAAACTGAGATTCAGGTACACTGGACATACTCCTGCTCCAAAGAACAAACCATTCATTCCACGAGGAATCACCACAGACAGTCAGAGTCACATCCTTACAGCTGATTATCACAGTAACTGTATCCACATCATAGACCAGGATGGACAGTCCCTCCGTTACATAGACTGTGGACTGAGTTATCCCTGGGGACTGTGTACAGATACAAATGACAATCTGTTTGTTGCTCAACGTGGAAAGAGACAAGTGAAGAAAGTCAAATATTTGCAATGAAATTATAATTAAAGGAAAAGAAAAATGTGAAATAGTTAAAAATGTTTGGGGTTTTTTTAACCATATAGATACAATGTATGCACTTAAAATACAAATGACAAGATTTGTATATTTTTTTATCGATGATCTACATGAATGATTGGTGACATTAATAATATCCTACATGTACATTTTAGTCTGAGTAAAATAGTTAGTTTGGTTACTCTGCAACTACTAAAAAGTATAGCTTTTTACTTGCCTTGTCACTATCACCAGTACTTGATCATACATAACAATAAATACATGTGCATCCCCCAAACACTGGCCTCTCTTGGTCTTTGAATAATATGTGGTTAATTATCTTGTGTGATTAACAAAGGGGAATGATTCTCTTAAGAGTAAAATTTCCCAGACCACTGATAAATTTTATTGGCATACTGAAAAGGGAAATAACTTTATGTTCTATTTTCCAAATAGTAAAAATAAATTGAGTTATTACCCTTTTCATATACATGTATGTGCTATTTGTTTTTAAAGTTGAGCTCATTTTAAAATATACATATTATTTAAAAAAAATACTTATTATTCAAATTAAAAAAAAAGAAAGAAACTCTCTATCGAATCGAATTTTGAAATTTTTGGCGTGAGAAATTAAGATTAATTTTGTGGCCTTATTGAAAGTGATAAATTTTAGATTGAATCAAACTGAATTGTATTAATAAAGTAAGAAATGTTGATGGGATGAAAAAATTCCAGAATGAATTAAAAATTATTGTTTCTCAGTAGTTCTCAGAAAGTTTTGAGTCAGGGTTAAGTTTAGTTTATCTGCTTATGTGCAGAGAAGAAGCTTTTTAAACAATTAATGCATCTACACTACATTATCAACAAAGCCCCACCTCAACACAAAAACACTCAACTCAAGTACTGTTAATTTCTCAATTTTGAAGAGAGCTTATTTATCAATATCATGCACTTAGTTTGTCTACTTCATATTCAGGGGGAGAGAAGATTAAGTAGAGGACTCAGTGTTTATCAAAATCATGCACTTAAACCAACCCCTCGATCTTAAGAGGGAAGGGACCATGAAAATTTTTTCTCCCCTTTTGTCCATAGATATCATATGCTGAAATAAGTTGAAATTCATTTAATGGTTCAAGAGGCTGAAAATATTCAAAACTTTACTGAGGACACACGATTCATGATAACGAACAACAACTGATAGCAAAAGATGACCTAAACAAGAGGCCCATGGGCCACAACGCTCACCTGAGTCAATATGGCCCTGCTGTTCTTCGTCAGCAGATTTCTTCTCTTATATATTCATATGTAAAGCTTTGATCACCTGTTCTAGGCATACCCTACCTCCAGGTGCCATGTTATGAATGAAATTGAATATAAACCTTCTGAGGATGCTTCTATCTTCATATAACTAATCACGGTTTTGCTGTTCTTTAAAAAGGAATTTTAAAGATGTCTGACACCCTACCCTGGGGGTTGGGGGTGGGGTGGGGGCATGATTTGAACAAACTTGAATTTACACTACCTGAGGATGCTTCCATATCAATGTGACTAATCATGACTTTGTTGTTCTTGAGAAGAAGATTTTTAAAGATATTTCCTATATATTTTCTTTCGTAAAACTTTGACTCCCCATTATGGCCCCACCCTTTTACTGGAGGATGCATTGAACAAACTTGAATCTACAATACCTGGGGATGCTTCCATATCAATATGACTAATCATGGCTTTCCTGTTCTTGAAAAGATCTTTAAAAATTTTTCCTATATATTCCTATCAAACTTGAATCTACAATACCTGGGGATGCTTCCATATCAATATGACTAATCATGGCTTTCCTGTTCTTGAAAAGATCTTTAAAAATTTTTCCTATATATTCCTATGTTAAACTTTGATCCCCCATTGTAGCCCCACCTTACCCTCGGGGGTCATGATTTGAACAAACTTGAATTTACACTACCTGAGGATGATTCCATATCAATATGACTAATTCTGGCTTTGTTGTTCTTGAGAAAAAGATTTTTTAGAATTTTTTCTATATATTCCTATGTAAAACTTTGATCCCCAATTGTGGCCCTGCCCTACCCTGGGGGTCATTATTTGAACAAACTTGAATCTACACTACCTGAGGATGATTCCATATCAATATGACTAATTGTGGCTTTGTTGTTCTTGAGAAGAAGATTTTTAAAGAATTTTCCTATATATTCCTATGTAAAAATTTGATCCCCCCATTGTGGTCCCACCCTACCCCTGGGGGTCATGATTTGAACAAACTTGATTCTACACTACCTAAGGATGATTCCATATCTATATGACTAATTCTGGCTTTGTTGTTCTTGAGAAGAAGATTTTTCAGAATTTTTTCTATATATTCCTATGTAAAACTTTGATTCCCCATTGTGGCCCCGCCCTACCCCCGGGGCTCATGATTTGAACAAACTTGAATCTACACTACCTGACGATGATTCCATATCAATATGACTTATTGTGGCTTTGTTGTTTTTGAGAAGAAGATTTTCAAAGAATTTTCCTATATATTCCTATGTAAAACTTTGATACCCCATTGTGGCCCCACCCTACCCCCGGGGGTCATGATTTGAACAAACTTAAATCTACACTATGTAATGAAGATTTCACATAAGTTTCAACTTTTCTGGCCCAATGGTTCTTGAGAAGAAGATTTTTAAAAGATGAGACCAAATTTTCACCAATTCTTAATTATCTCCCCTTGGAATCGGGCGTGGCCCTTCATTTGAACAAACTTGAACCCCCTTCACCCAAGGATGCTTTGTGGCAAGTTTGGTTGAAATTGGCCCAGTGGTTCTTGAGAAGAAGTCAAAAATGTAAAAAGTTTACAGACGGACAGACAGATGGACAGACAGATGGACAGACAGACGGACAGACAGACGGACTACAGACAAAATGTGATCAGAAAAGCTCACTTGAGCTTTCAGCTCAGGTGAGCTAAAAATATATACTGTGGAAGATCAAATTATTATAAAGGTTACACTATGAAATACATCAATCAATTAAAAGTCTGTATGTATTTAGGTAAATTTAAATTTACTTCCCCCAATACAGTACATGTACATACATGTTGTTTGTTTACCTTCTGTACTTGGTCGAGGTGTTTAAGCATTGTTTTATTTTTAGAAGCCAGTCTCTCCTCAAAATGGACCCGGACTTTAGGAATGAAGTACACAACCAACTGTAAACACCTGGAAGCCAGAGCTGAAAACAAAGCAAAAATTCTGAATTTCCTCTGAATAACTTCGTTCTGTATATTCATATTAGGTCCTTTAGTTCTCCACAAACAAAATGCAGTTTAAGATTAAGATAATGATATGCACTATTAAGAGCATGGTGTACCTAGATTTTTGGTCGAGATGGTTTTCAGTCCCACAAGTTGAAGGGCACCTGCACCTAACACCAGCTGGCAAGTTCTTGAATTGAAAATCTACAATATTGAACATTGAACATCATAAATTTTATAAGTAACCCCTCCCTTTTAAAATAGCCAACAGCAAGATTATCTTGATTTATCTTCATTTTAATAGAAATAATAAATGTACTTAAAGAATTATTGTTGAGAAAATATAAACATGTCAGAGATAATTCATGATTTTTAATCAGGGATTTCCCAGTTATGCTAATAACAATGATAATAATGGTTTGCACGGAGTTTAAACTCACTTTGAAGAGGTCTACCAGTCTAGACAAAAGATCTGGTGCCGCTGACGGAATGTCATTCACACACTGACAATACTCCACCATCATCTTCAACAGCATCAGCACCGTTCTGTAAACAAATAAACATCTATACTGTAAATAAATAAAAATAATTTATACTATAAATAGATAAACATGATTTATAATGTAAACAAATAAATATCTACTGTAAACAATTATATATCATCTATACTGTAAACAAATAAACATCATCTATACTGTAAACAAATTAACATCTATACTGTAAACAAATAAACATAATTTATACTGTAAACAAATAAATATCTATACTGTAAACAAAATAAACATCATCTATACTGTAGACAAATAAACATAATTTATACTGTAAACAAATAAACATCATCTATACTGTAAACAAATAAACATAATCCATACTGTAAACAAATAAATATCTACTGTAAACAATTAAACATCATCTATACTGTAAACAAATAAACATCAACTATACTGTAAACAAATAAACAGCATCTATACTGTAAACAAATTAACATCTACACTGTAAACAAATAAACATAATTTATACTATATAGAAATTAACATCATCTTTACTGTAGAAAAACCTGATTTATACTGTAAACAAATTATCACCATCTATACTGTAAACAAATAAACACAATTATGATCAGCACTGTGTTGGGAAATGACAGTGCAATTTTTACATATTACCAAACTGAACATTAAAATTACTAATACAAGCAGAAATATCCTCTATGTCTTATTACTGCATCTGCCAAAAAAGAGAAAAATAACAATCTATTTTGACATCATGTGCACTAGGATTTTACAACACTTGGCCTCACACTTTCTCTGGAGCATGGAGAAGATAAGTAAGTTAGGGAGGAAGTAAAATTTAGTAAATACTTACCCTACAACTGCAAATGTCTGATCTTCAACTACTAACACTTCTGTAGGGCCCTTATCTGAACACAGAAACAAGTCAAATAATAAAATCACAAACATTAAAAATAGTACACATAACTTATCATACCTAACTAGAGCAGTCTAATTTGAATTTGTATTCAGCAGCAGCACTGTGAGATGATGTTCATACTATACATATTTGTAGAGTCAATGTTAAAAAAAAATCTTCAGTTTTGGATTTTTGTCAATAATAAACTCACTTCCTTACTTAACAATAAACTGTAAACCAAGACATGCAATAAATATGTGTGAGATCTGCAAGCAACCTCCGCCTGCAGATAATTATCACTCAAACCAGTTTTCATTATTATAATTCCCAATGTTAACAAGAATGTTACAGGTCAGAGTTAAAATAATGTATCAAGAAAAAACTGGATTGCACTAAAAGCAGTAAAAATCTAATCTTTGACCAATACATTTACATTTTGTATGCACTTCACTTTTATGAGTGCTTCGTGATGGCAGGGTCGGGAAGTAAAGCTGATATTTCTGATATTGTCCATGGGCAACCCTTTTAGGCCACCCTACCCCCTGGGGTCATGATTTGAACAAACTTGATTCTAAATTACTGAGGATGCTTCAGAATCCACATAAATATGACTAATCATGACTTTGCTCTTCTTGAGAAGAAAATTTTTAAAGATTTTTTCATACGTATTCCTATGCATAACTTTGATCGCACATTGTGGCCCCACCTTACACCTGGGGATCATGATTTGAACAAACTTTATTCCACCTACTTGAGGATGCTTACATATAAATATGAACAATAATAGCTTTGCTGTTCTTGAGAAGAAGATTTTTAAATATTTTTTCTCTGTTTTCCAATGTAAAAACTTTGATCGCCCATTGTGGCCCCACCCTACCCCTAGGGGTCATGAATTGAACAAACTTGAATCTACATTATCTGAGGATGCTTCCACATAATTTTCATATTTTCATGCACAGTGCATCTTGTGATGATTTTTAAATGATGCCATTAATTTTTCACAAATTCGTAATTATCTCCCCTTGGAAGAAGGCATAACCCTTCATTTGAACAAACTTGAATTCCCTTCACCCCAGGATATTTTGTGGCAAGTTTGGTTGAAATTGGCCCTGTGGTTCTTGAGAAGAAGATGAAAATGTGAAAAGTTTACGATGACAATGACAACAGACAACAGACAAATTTGATCTGAAAAGCTCACTTGAGCCTTCGGCTCAGGTACAGGCTCAGGTGAGCTAAAAATAATAAAGTACAAAATGTAGGAACACACCTGAATCTGCAGTCCTTTCTGGTAGACTTAACATGCCTGAAATGTCAATAGTCCATCAATTAATATGATTCTAGTCTATTTATGGTTAATAAAAATATCTACAAAGCAAATGCTGAGTTCTGTAAGCTAAGATGGGTTTTATAATCTAAGAACTTTAAGATTACTATATAAAACGTAAACTGTGAGTTTTTTACATGACATACAATATTATAATACAATATCATACAATAATATATGTACCTGTTTGGGTGATATGATTAACGAGCTCTTGGAATTCCGCTGGAACATCCGCTTGTTTCCATCGCTCATTGTCCAAAATGAGGCTACAATAAAGAAGATTTCTATAGATAGGGAAATTCTTCATCTTCTTATATTTTAATCAGCAGTTATTCCAAAATATATTACAGAATTTTACCCAATAACCTTTCTTCAAATGAATATTTTCAGTACCCACTACACTGTGATGATTACCTGAGTTTGGTTCGTCTTTCTTCATGGAATCTGTTTACAAATTTAAGTGCCTGAAAAATTCAGAATAAAAAGGGTATCATTTGTAAATCCACTGAAAAGTGGTACTAAAAACTCTATTACATTCAGTCATCAGTGAATTTCCAGTTGTTAACAGACTATAGCAGAGAACTCACCTGTGACTGTAGACAGAATCTTAGTGACATACATCGTCGACCACTGATGGTTTCACAATCAGTTATAAACTTCTCAACCTCTCGAGACAAAGCAACAAATTCACTGGAAGTCAGCCGTTCCAAAAATCCATCCTGCAAAATATCATCAAAAAAAAAATTTCTTTTTACCTAAGAAAGGCTGAAATTTGATTCTTTATTTCATTTTTATTTTTTCTTTGGTTAGTTTGTTCTCTCCTGGTATGTGTAAATTATGAGGCATATGTATTCCAAGCAAAAGACACTTACCTTTGCCCTGGCTACAATGACCTTGACACATCGATCGTGGGCATGGTCACACACAGCACACAACATTTCATTGAGGTTGGTCTGTACAGTGACATACTCAGCCTCGGTGATCATTACATCAGCTGCCTCTTCACTCCTGTATAATTATAATCACAAATGTCAAAATATTTACAAGCACTTATTCTGCAGAATTATCTGGATGAAGGCGTACGTACGTAAAATAAAATCCTTTGTATTCACAGAGACAGAGGTAGTCCTCCTTTGTGGGGGGATAACTAAGGATGTAGTACATATGTACTTACACAGAGACATGTAGATGAGCTGCCTCACTGAGGGGGTTGTCCTCCTTTGAGGGGGAGGGGAGGGGGCTGGGTACCTGAGTCTTTCCGGCTGCTATTCCTATCACATCACTGATCACACCATGGAATGTCTACAAAGAGCAGAGATATCAACCAAAATGGAAATATAGCCAAACGTCTCTTACAAGACTGTAGCTCTACTGGTGTGTACTTATAATAAAATGTATTTTATTATAGTTTACTTTTGTTAAAGTCAATCAGATCAAAACTGTAGGAGGAGTAGGGCATCGAAAAAATTTCAAAGAAATTTCTATTTTAAGTAACCATGACAACACCTTTGACAAATCAAATGCCAATATCTGAATTTATGTACTGTAAACCAACTTTTATTCGCGTGCGAGAAATTTTCGTGAGGTTCGCGAGAGGCTCGTCATCGTGAATATTTCTCGCCGCGAACTGGTCCATTAAGTCTCTCTTTCTATTAACAACAGATCCAAAAAAAGGCTTGATCGCGGAAATTAATCGTCGCGAACTAGTTTATCCCCGGTAAATCCCGAAATAAAGTCGTCGCGAATAAAAGTTGGTTTACAGTATCTTAGTATAATCTACTTGTGTACTAAGTCTGATTGAAATTGGACCAATACTACTGTAGGAGTAGGCTTTTGAAAGAATTGAAAATCTCAACTTTAAGTAACAACAGCAACACCATTGTTGAAATCAAAAACCAATAAAAAGAATTATGCATCTTAGTATAGTCTACTTGTGCACTAAATCTTATTGAAATTGACCAAAACTCTAGTAGGAGTAAAAGTTTGAAAAATATACAGACGGACAGACCTAGACAGACAGACGGACTTACAAAGACACCTTACCAATGCATAAGCCCTACTGATCTCTGACCAGTAGAGCTAAAAATAAACAAACAAAGACAATAACTCAAAACCTTTCAAGCTTTTAAGCATTTTTTGGGGGAGGGATGAAGGGGGAGGGAAGGGAGTACTTTACCCATAAATATCTACTATTTAAACTCTGTTAAATCAAATGGGTTGATCAACCTTTTTCTTAACATTAGTGAAGAGACTGAACTTGAATTATCAAAGGGGAAATTCACTTTGCCCCAACATTTATTTGTGCCTTAGGCTTGGCAGGTCATTTGCACTATTATATGCAAAAGCACCGACAAAATCTGTTTTAATTAACTATGAAATGCAATACCCCACTTTTTCATTATTTTATTTAATTTCTGTAATTCAATCCATTCAATTTTTAACTACCTTTGCTCTGTTAAGATGCACCAATAAATTAGAGAAGATTTGTTTCATCAATTCCATCCATTGAGAGTAATTCAGCATTCTCATCTGATCTGCCAGGCTACAGAACAAAGTTATAACAAAGTTACCAACGAGCTAAGAATATGATTTACTATATAGAAATTTAAGAGATTTTCTGTCTTTGAATTATAAGAAATCAACTATATTTGTCATTTCCATATTTAACTAAAACTAAATAAAATAGTAAACCTGGTGACGTTTTCATCCTCTGTGTCAACATTCTCAGCTTCTGAAACTGCCTCTACCACAGTCTAAAAATAGAAACAAGAATTCCACTGCTTACTCTTGTTTCTGATAATCACATGACATACAGCTACAGTCTAAAAATAGAAACAAGAATTCCACTGCTTACTCTTGTTTCTGATAATCACATGACATTGAGCTACTGTTATACATGTTGTCTTAAACACTGTGCTCAGTGAAAGGTACATTAGACAGACACTTGACTATAGCCTTCTCTAGCTTAACCTTTTGTTTTTTTGTTTTAACCTTCATCATATATAAAACCTATACCAATTTTCATGATAACCATTCTGCAATGACAATGACAATGGCCTTGACTTCTCTGATCTGATTGATACTGAACTTGACCTCTCTGTACTTACCTGTTTAAGCATGACCTTGACCCCTCTGTACTGACCTGTTTAACACTGGCCTTGACCCCTCTGTACTGACCTGTTAAACACTGGCCTTGACCCCTCTGTACTGACCTGTTTAACAATAACCTTGACCTCTCTGTACTGACCTGTTTTACAGTGGCCTTGAATGCTGTGAAGGCCTCCTCTCTGTATACATTGACAAAATTAAAGCGACTTTTCCTGAGCATTCCAAACACAAGGGAGACAATCTTCTCCTGAAAAATCCAAGCATAATTGCATGACTATGATTATGCAGTATTGATATAGTAGCTTGCATTTCATATCATTAATTATAAAATATACACATAGAAATATTTTCTAGCCTTACAATATAATGATGCTCAGTTAAAGAGAAAAACAACTAGTATCCAGTCATTATAATTTGACAGATGCACTTTATATACTTAGTTATATGTTCTGGGGACCATCAGTTTATGAACAACATATGAAACTATGATATGACAGATCCTTATTTAAGCAAAAAAAAAAAAATCTTAAGTTTCTCATGCATCCCTGCATTAGGTCAAGCACTGTCACAAAGATAGTTTCTATGAACAGCATATGGGGTTTATGTCTCCCACTTGATTCAATATGCAAGAGCATTCTATATGTAACAATTTCTTAAATGGAACAAGCTATAGACAAAGAAGTTGATGACACAAGGATAACAACAGTCTCGTTTAAAGTCATCATTTCGCAAGTTTTTGGTCGATACAAAGACCTTGTCAGCAAGTACAATTTACTAATAAGTCAAAAGCTGAGTGATGTTTTTCATACCAATTGTTAGACTATTATTCACACACTGAATTTTCTACAGATTTTTCTGTTTGCCCAATCATGACAAGGAGAACATGGCAGGTGTGACAGGGGATGCTTACTCCTCCATGGCACCTGATCCCACCTTTGATGTTTTAGAGGTCCATGTTTGCTCTGCTCCTGATTCGTATTGTATCAATGGACATTTGAGCCTGGGTAACATTCATTATATCCATATTTCATTAAAAAGGGGAATTACTAAATTTTTCCATTTTGGAAATAAAGAAAAATAAGTTTTTTTCCTTTTCAGCAATTTCTTGAAAAGGCCTAGATTGTATTAGATATGTGGTTTTACTTGTTTTAGCAATATTTCATCATTAAACTTTTCATAAACGTTTTCAATAACATTATTTAAAAGTGATTAATAATCAAATAATACAAGAGCACAAAAAAGTCAGATTTGGGAAATCTCTTTCTTCAAAAAAGAAAAAAAAAGTATGCCTGTCTGTCACATATAATTTTGAAGTTTTGGGTCTGAGAAACTAAATATTATCTTTTTTGGCCTCCTGATATAAATTATTTTTGACCAGGACCTACCTCCTCCAACAAGGGCTCCTTGTCTGTGACAGGACGATTGAGGTCCGCAGACACACACTTAGCAAAATCCTCCTGTAACATTTTCTCTATGACATTCTCAAGTTCTGCCAGCTGGGAACTAAGGTGTCTACAATCATAAATCCAATTATCTTAAGACAGGACCTCAAGTATGAATATGCCTATGGACATATTAGGTAAACTGTACATGAATGTTTGCAGTATCAGATTTGTATATAACACATAATCATGGTAAATACTGATTAAAAATTTAATCTTTGCATTATTATTATTTTAATTTTATATCAAAGTTGTCCACTGTGACAAAATATAAAAAAGTTATTGGTATGAAAGTTGTACATTGAAAATGATGTAAAGGTTAATTCCAATGTTACAGTATTGTTGGGGACAAAATCTGAATTTGTTATAAACAGCACACATATTTCATTTTAAAGTTAACATATTTTACTATATATATACAGTACCTAAAGCTGTGGACCCCTGCCAGTTCTTGTGTCAGAACTTCTTGTGTGGTAGATATGAGATCTAATGCCCCTACAAACTCCTGAGTGGACAGTAATAGCTGTATGGTTGGTTGGGTCTGGTGGACCGTAGACATCAACTTCAGCTGTAGTGTACAAATAATGAATGATCTTGGTTGAATATAGACTCAGTGATACCAACTCAAAATTCAGTAGTGCTAATAAAAACTACATTTTTAAACAAATCTTTCTGTATATTATCTCAGAATCCATACTCTAAGTAAATACTGACCTTATCATGAAGTTTGACATAATTAGCCCTGGTCTGTGAAAGCTTCATTATCTTTAGTGACCCCAGGGTCAAGAGTTCATCAACGCTTTGGATTTTATCCCTGGTAGCAAAATAACATATTCTTAGAGCTCTGACAGCTAAAATCTTAATAGAAACCATATTACAGAAGAAATTTATAATCAGACTGGATTGTCAAGATCTTAAAACAATGTAAAAAAAAATTGGGGGGGTTTGTTATTTTGTTTTTAATTTACAATGAACTTAAACTTATATTCTTCCTTTCAATGAACAAATTTTGGCTTAGAAAAAGAAATGTCAATTTGCATGTACATGTACCTTAGTTGTTTGATGGTCTGACATGTCTTCAGCATGTTGTCCTGTAGAATGTCATGTGACGACACGGCTTGGAAGAAGGCATCAGATTTGGTAGAAATCTGTTTAGCTATGTGAACCTCCACAATATCGAGGTAATGACTCAACTAGAGAAAAAAATTACACACATTTACTGCACCACTAATTGTCAACTTACTATTATACATGACAACTTTTATTTGTGATTTCTCCGTTTTCAATCCACCCCACATTGAATATCAATTTTTAGGACAAAGTTAACATTCTACATAAATACAATCAAATAAATAATATCCATTCATGAGTAAAACAGGGTTGAAAACTCATGGATATATCATACATAGGGAATAAAAGTTGATTTACAGAACATGTTAAAAAATGAAATGGATGGAAGGAATAAAGGCTGTGCTTTCCAGAAATATTTTTTTTTAATAAGGTGTGCATTTTTAACTATTAAAGTATGTCTTGAAACAGTTATAATCTCCTGCTTCAAAATTGTTTACATGAATGATTGATTTATGATAATCATTGTATACTGCAGCACTGGATTACTAATGGAAGGAAGAACCTGATTTCTTTTATATGAGATTGATATTGCTACACTATTTAAGAACACTGCTGGGTTTGTTTTTTTTTTTACCTTCTCTTGTAGAAGTTTGGAGGACTGGGATGATCCCCCATTTTTCTTGCATTCCTCCACCTGTGACCATGGAAACACAGCATTGAATGTGTCCGAGTTCTCCAGGTCAAAATTTGACAGCATGAACAACTACAAAATATGTCAGGACAATAAAACACAACATCAAACAGTGTACTGATGGTTAGCTACAACATACATCAAACCGAAACACACTCTGAATATTTTAGAAAACTCTTTCTTATGATGCTACAAAGATTAAAGTAAAAGTGTGCCATAGTTTGAGTGATGCTGTATACTAAATTAAAGTAAAAGTGTGCCATAGTTTGAGAGATGCTGCATACTAAATTAAAGTAAAAGTGTGCCATAGTTTGAGAGATGCTGTATACTAAGTACATGTATTTCTTGTTTACAGTAGTGGTATACAGGACTGATCAACTTTACAGTAGAGTAATAAATGATTTACAACATTATGTCATTTATTAGTTTACAGTAAAGTAATAAATGATTTACAACATTATGTCATTTATTAGTTTACAGTAGAGTAATAAATGAATTACAGCATTATGTCATTTATTAGTTTACAGTAGAGTAATAAATGAATTACAGCATTATGTCATTTATTAGTTTACATTAGAGTAATAAATGATTTACAGCATTATGTCATTTATTAGTTTACAGAAGAGTAATAAGTAATTTACAGCATTACATCATTTATTAGTTTACAGTAGAGTAATAAAAGAATTTCAACATTATGTCATTTACAAGTTTACAGAAAAGTACTAACTGATGTACAGCTGCATTATGTTGTTTACCTTTGGTAATTGTTGGAGTTCTTCTCTGTTCCTTTCTGCAGAAAAAAAATACTTATCACTTTCACATACATATGTATATTCAGGTATACATGTATGTACAGGTATCACTCCCAAATTAACATCACAATATGTAAAAGAAATCCACTGAAATGTTATTAGACTGATAAGGACAGCTAGATTAACAGAGATTACACAAATAAACTTTGATAAGAAATCAAAACTGAGCCTTGACTCAGATGAGCTGAATATTGAATATATTAGGTATATGATATCAAAATGAAATGATAAACTTGCCCAATTGTTGAAGAAATAATAAACTCACCCATTTGTTGAAGAAATGTTTCTCCCCCTGGGGCTTCTTGGTCAATTTGATGTTTATATTTAGCATACTTTCTATATCTCTGCAAACAAAAAACTAAATTATCTCCTTGTACACAGCTGGGTTAAAAAGAAAACTATGTTAGGCCAACTTTAAAATAATGTTTGTTTGCCCTCTCTTGACTCAGGATGAAAAAATTGGGTCAGTAGGTAGGTGAGAAATTTTTTTTCTCAGAAAGATTTCAGCATCAATGCTGAATTTTCCAGATCTATTTTATGAAATGCATAAAAAAAAAAATTGCTTCCTGGGAGTTAAAAAAGTTTTGAATCGGCCAGATTTTAGTCAGTCAGTCGGGAGAAGCAAACCAAACAATTTTTTTAAAGATGGCCTTACCAACATTTGACCAGTAATCAGTAAACATGTGTCTGTTGAGCTACATTTTTTTTTTTAAGTAATTATAATCTTGATTTGACATCTAAACCACTGAAACAAAATATCTATCCAGTAAAAAAAATTCAGTCCTGTGTTGTAATCTACTGTGTAGAACATAACAAAACATGTACATGCACACGTTTATTATTCATAAGCATATTTTCTGTTGACATGTTATATTGTACTATTCATGGCACAATGTTGAGCAAGCATGTCTCTCTAAATTACAGTTTCTGTATATATAAGATCTCCATACCTTTGAAATTCTATGCTTGTATTTTTCAAAAAATCTTCTGTCAATTTCTGGAAGATAGCGGGACTCAGGGACATACATCTTTTCATAAAATTCCTGGCCCCAGGTTTTGGTGAAGAAGTCTGTCTCTCTCTTAACCCTGAGGGGGTCATTCAGAGCTGCTGGGAGATTAACCTTGGAATCAAACACAGTCCATCTATGCTGGTCATGTACAACAGATGGAATAGTGCCTGGAGGTGTCCCAACAAAAGACTGGTCCTCTTGGGTCTCTACAAAATTAAATACAAAATCTGCATTTGAAATGATAATTATATTCATAGGCAACACAGTCTATAATATATGCACATGTAATGCATTCTTAACTTTTTTAAATTTAGAAAATTTCAAATGTTACCTAACTCATATTATAAACCTTTCATTGTAAAGTTTACATTTTGGCATACTTACAACATTTACATTCTTGTAACAACAATACAGGAATGATTGTTATGTTAAGCTTCAAATACAAGCCATATTATCTGATTATACAGTGTATAAATATAACATTTATTAGGGTAACAAGTGAAATTGTTATCGCAAGAAAACCATGGCTGACTGAGGCGAAGGGATCACAAGGGATAACAAATTCTTAATCACTTTACCAATGCAATAAAAATGTAATTTTTGTTTTTTGGTTATACTGAATGTATTTGGAATGCATTGAAAAAAAATGTCATGGTGAACATGCAAACATTCTGCGCAGTTAACAATTTTAATACTGTTACCCGTTGTCATGCATTTTCAACCATTGCTATGTAATGTAGCTGCAGAACTGTAGCTCTGTGCTTGAGAATATTTGTACAGAAAAACCAGATTTATTATTATAAATTTATTGTTTTATAAGCATTTTCTAGCTTAAAGCATGACTTCTTTTAATTAACTATATGTTTTACTTCTATTCCTGATACTTTATTTACATTTAAACGGTTCCAAACAGCCCTATATGGCCTTGGAATGTCAACTTTAAAAATTTTCATTTCAACATCCATGTTGGAGTCTTACATGTATTAGAATAAAGTGCCTTGAAAGGTAAATAAAGTATCAGGGGTAGGAGTAAATTATATGGTTAATTAACAGATCCATGATTTAAGCAGGGAAACACATATAATACAAGAAACAATACCAGAAGCGAGTGACAAAAAAGCGTTGTCGTAAATCGAAGGTTTTTACAATGCTTGGATCTGTATCTCTCTGGTTTGTCTGTTCGAATTTTCTCAACCAAAGAGCTACAGTTCTGCAGATAAATGTCATGTTACTCGAAGTGTGTGGTTTATACACATGATGGGGTAATAGTACTTTTTAACAAATGTTTTTAAACCAATCAAATATGACTATTTAACACGATAGTATAACAATATATATTTACTAAAACAACAAGAGTCAAATTTAGTGTGCCCCAGAAATGAGTTCTCAAGTAAACCTGCTTCTAGATTTTTACACAACAACCTAATCAAGCTTATTACTAACCCGATCTCTTTCTCCCTGAGGCTTGAACGTGGTCCCTTGCTATGTGGTTTTCATAATCCATGTCACTGACACCTTCCAGAGGCAGCGAGGGGCATATATTATTAGGCCCATACCTACACACGTAAGATCCTCCCTCCTTAGAACAGTGGGATTCCCTCAAGTGCCGAGAAAATTCCCGCGCTGACTTAAACAGAAGGGAACAATACTGACAGTTCTTCCAAGGGGTCGTCAGTCCTTGACGATGTGACCCGATGGAAGCCGGTTCATGCGTCATAATTAAAGTTCATTGCAGAGTTTCAGGTATCATATAAGCTTACAGGCATTTTTTTGTAATTAGCAAGAAATCACATCTTAGAATTTATTATCTGGGTCCCATTGTTGACAAATCAGACGGTCACTCTACTCCAGAACGTATTTCCGGTTAGCGTAAGAGCAAAATATTTCCGTACAACCTACCTAATTCCGGATAGATTCTATACAGGCAGCTTTTGTAAAATTAGCCTCACCCTTTGACTTACACTTGCTAAGTTTTCCACTTTCAAATACGTTTTAATAAGAATAGAGGTTATATCAAAGTGTTATTTTTTTGGAAATCTGTTAATTCCCATTTTGAACAAGGTACATGAGAATATTATGTAATGTCTATCTCATTTCCATTCTTGGTGCTGTACTGTAATTCTGTCAAAAATGTACTATTTGCCAACCTTTTGTATATCAGTGAAAAACACTTTTTTCATGAATAAAATTGTTAGATTTCAGAGACATTCAGGATTTGACATCTTGAACAAGAAATATGGATCCTTCGGACATGTCAATGCCAATGGGTCATTTATTGATCAGAGAACACATACTGGAATTCTCTACAATTAGTAAAATACTTTCTCAAGTTTGATCGTGTTCATATCAATTTTTCCATTTTCAGTTTCTTAGAATTCCAACACCAGTATTTATACCTGCCCTCTTCACCCTCCTAACGTGTACTTTACAACCCATCATCAATTGTAATTTGCATAGATGCTGTTCCAAAATGTATTAAAAAACACTCCCACTGAATTTATTAGTACTTTTAATAGTTAAATTAAAGCTCAAGTTCATTATGAACAGAAATAAATCTCATTATATGAAATTTCACTCATCAAACTTCCTGTGAAACCTCACAATTTTTTACATCTATCAACCATACAATTCCATACAAAATAAATTACACAAAATAATTACTAATAAAAAATAACACACACCATATAAAACCATTTATACAAATATAAAAAATTGTACGAGTCGTACAAAAACATTTACACAATCTTACCTTACAGTGACTATTGGTGAACTCTGACCTTAGTTAATGGTTAATCATGTTAATATGAAATATGAATACTGAATGTACATTAATTTGTTTAGAACTTGACACCTTTGCAGAAAATTGAAATGAATCGGTGCTGTTGTTTTTTAATTCATTACTTCTATGGGAATTCATTCTTTAGCTTGAACTAAATTATTCTTTATATTCAGTGTGTAAGTTGCCAAAATATGACTCCCTATCCCACTGACATAAGTATATTTACTTAAACAGTAATCAATGGAATTTCAGACTGCCTTGCCATTACACAGAATTAACATTAAGAAACATGGCATTAACATCGAGTTTCCTGGACGGAAAAAATGATTAGAAGAAGAAAACAGGCGGTAATTCTATATACAAGGAACTTGAGTGTTCCACGGCAGTGCATACATTGTACTAGTGTGTACATCACTATGTCTCATAACCTTTAGTAACTTGTTTTACAACTTCTAGTTGCATTATACCTCAAATAAAAACCAAACTAAAGACAATGCTTTAACAAACCACAAAACATAAATGTTTTTAGTGCTCTCTGTTCAACATAAGCATAACCAGTTTTGTACATTTTTGAAAATGATTGAGAATCATTTTCTTTACACAGAAATCCAAACTTTCGTCTCTTAATCACTCTCTGTCTGCTGGGTGTCCCCCCTCTTCCTAGGGCTCTAACAGCCCCCTCCATCATGTCCCTCTACAGCTTACACACAATTCTGGAATTCCCTGCACTGTGAAGACTGGCCTCCTCCCTCCGGTCCCTCCTCTGTATATCCCCTCTCAGGTGCCTCAGACAGCCATTATCCAGCCGTTATCTGTCAGGAAGCTCATGATTTTCCGCCGGTGGGTTTTGTCAAGCCCACTAGGATAGCGGATCTTGACTGGAATACCCTGCCGTCGCTGTAGATAATCCTATAAATATAAATACTTTGTTCAGATTCATGGACTGTACACGATTCATCATCAATTTACTATAACCATCTTCACTTTCAATTACTTAAAAAATAGCATTATTCTCTTTCTCTCTGGAAATATGAAATATTTGATAGGAATCAATTGTGTACGATTTTTACTGAAAATCTTTGATAACGTGTATCTCCTTGCACTTGTTAGAATTTGGCAATACCCCCGTCTAAGTTTTACAAACTCCTCACCTTGATTATACAAGTTTTGATGGTCATATAGTTTGCTGGGGTCATCCCAATGGAATTGCAGAGCTACAGAAAAAAAAATAAGAACTTTTTAAGAACTTCTGTTTTTTGACATACAGTACATGTAGTAAATACCTCAACATTAAAGATTCTGCAAAAAAATTTAAACTCAATCTATTTTTCTATAATATTAACAGCCACAAGTGTACGGCGATATTCTATTGAGGTTGTCTTTACTGCAGACATGGATTAACACCCACAAGTGTAAGGCGATATTCTATTGACGTTGTCTTTACTGCAGTAATTACCTTCTTCTCTCTCTCTGACAGCATGCCATAGCTGGGGAGTATGGACATATCCTTCATCTCATTCTCGTCTCCTTCATCTTTTAACCCTGAGATATATAGGGAAAAAAAATAAATACATTCAGATAATAAATCAGTTTAAATTTATGTACTGCAATTTTATGAATTTTTTGAAGATTCAAAGTTAAAATAGAGGAAATAAAAGAGCTATCAGTGAACTTTGATACCAATTATATGTTTATACAGATTTTACCATTTTATCACTTTATTCTGGGTGCAATTTCACCTTCAATATAAATCTATAGAAGATTGAAATGTCATCTGTGTATAGTACCCACACAGATCTAATGATTATCAACAGTTCTCTTTAAAATGAAATTCTTTACCTTCGTCGTCGATGAGTATATCTAATTTTTCTCTGTAAATGAGAAAAGAAATCAAGAATGAAACCTTGCTGTGCAAAATTTGACATATCTTGAAATTGTATTTTGATATTTTACTTCCAGTGAGAGTTATCTCCTCTTATCAGAGACTCAATGAACTGTAATAACTGATGTACACACTGTACTTACTCTATACCGCCGGCGGCTTTTTTTGAGACCATTGACACCCTCTTTACTGGGGAGGAGCTGCCCTAGGGGGAGAGGTTTAACATGTTAACATCACAGTAACTTATCACTAAGAACTTTGTGTAGTTAATTAAATGGATTTGTAACTTATCACTGAGAAGTAGTTTAGTAAAAACTGTCGACCTAATAAAACTATTGGACACCAGAACTCACCAATTTCTTCTTATTCTCTTTTTTCTTCTCTCGCTTGTACAATTCATCCTCATAATCATCTACCTCTGCAATAGAAAATAAAAGTTAAACAAATTTTGAAAAATTTAAGTTCCTAGACCAACAATTACATGTATGTGGTTTTAGTATCCTTTCTTTACCGTAATACATAAATTAACTACAAGTGTTTCAGCTTAATTTAACTTGTCTATGACAAGTCTGTAACTCTACAATAAAGACTTTATCTCTGATATATGCACCATCCATTTTGGTGATCCCATTTTCCCTGTATTTCCAGAGTTCTGTGATTCTGGCCTTCAGCTCCTTCTCTTCTGAAAATACAAAACAATTTCCCAGTAATGTGAACAGATACAGAAAAGATAAAACAATTTCCCAGTAATGTGAACAGATACAGAAAAGATAAAACAATTTCCCAGTAATGTCAGCAGATACAGTGCAGTTCGCCTATGTATAATAATTAAAATAAATGAACTGAAGCAGCAATAATTCACCAAGTTCAAAATCACAAACATATCATCTTCCCTAAATTTCAAAATGGAAATTAATTGCCTTTTCAAGTTAAATATATCTGTCTAAGTTTGCTTTACCATCCTATACTCAAAATTAAAAACTTATCAATTAATCTAACCTTGACATTTCTCCAGAAACTGTTCATGATCAGATGAGGACTGGAATTGAGCAAATACTTTCATTTTTTCCTGGAATTCCCTTCAGAGAAAAAAAAAACACATCCATATACATTACTCTGACAAGAAACATAAACACTAAAGGATGAAATAAGTGAATACTAATTTTACTTAAGAGTAATTACTTTTCTTCTATTTCATCTTTATTAAGAACCCTCTCTACACTACACAGTAAAGAGTTCTGATTCTATGGTATTTTTCTGCAGTTAAGAGTGATCTGCCCTTAGATCTAAATTCCAATAAATTGAAATTTACAGTAAATTACTCAATTTGTTATCAGTTCAAGCATTCATAACATTTTAAATAGCCAAGATAAATTACTTGAACACTTTATTTGCATGTATTTTCTCCATGGAAGTAAAAAATAGTGATTTTTGTTCATTGATACTGGATTGTCTTTGAACATTTTTCCTGGAGGTAAATGCCACGTACCATATATTGAAAATAATTGATAAGCTCAATACATGTCTTTGCAACTTCATTCAATATAATTTTCTTAGTGTCCAAAAAACATTTTGCACAGGTGTATAGAGAGTCCTTAAATCTATTAGTGAAACTTAATTCTCACTTTGTAGAAATAATCTTAGTAAATAATAGCTGTGTATGTAAATATATCAATACATATAGTAAATGAGATATTCCACTTACTTTTCTTCTTTAGATGTGCGCTTTTTGGGGGTTTGTGATTTTGGTTTGATGAGTGATGCAGCAGTTTGAATTAAATTATATTCTCTGGCGATTCGTTTCCGTCTTTCCCGCTCTTTTAACCTGGTCCGGTATCTGTCAACCTGTACAAGCTTCACAGCTGAAGAAAACAAAATACAAGTCAAATTCAGATATGAATTGTCAGACTTAATTCCAATCTAATTTCCAAGACAATATTATGGGTGACATAACTGAGATTTTCATTAAAAAAGCTTATTGACTTACCTATATCCAGTTCATCATCATCGTAATTATTGGCCAGGCTACTTATCACAGTTTCTGCTTCATTGTCATGCTCCTGAAAAAAAATTATGAACCATCTACTCAAACAACATAAACACAAATACATAATCCACACAAGAGTATATGACCCAAACATATTCTTTCTGGTAAAATGTGTTAACTATGCAAGATGTAACTTTTGACAGATATAATAAATCTGTCTCTGGATGTCCTAAATACTTGCACTTCCCCAATCCAGGATTACATGCATAGATCTATATAACTTGATGTTTCATTTTATACTGACCTCAAATTTCAAAATCAACCACATTAAAAGAAAACAATTTTTAATAAAATTTAAATTTCTATTGCATTTACTATGATAAAACTTTAAGACAAGTAACAAATCTGACATAAGTCTAAAACTGCTTCAGGATGCTGTTTGCAAATTTTACATTTTCAAGGAGCATCAAGCCATCATCTGCTAAGAGGACATTCTAGGTGGAAAAAAATTACCCTTTCAAAATCGTCCCTGAATGGCATGTAACCAAGGTCATGCTGTTCCTGGACACTGAGTTCAATGGGGCGGATGGGGGTGGTGATGCTGGGAGACAGGGGACCTACAACCAATGAAAAGAAGAATGTTACAGCTTAAATAATAAAACAGGGCACTTAAATCCTAGGAAAATAAAGAAACTGTCAAGTATTTTTGCCCCCTACCTCCTTCTGGACAGGAATGATCTTTGACGGGGCTTTTGGTCAGAACAATGGTTTCTGAAATAAATTCATGGAAAATTTCTAGAACATAATGGAAGTACAAGCACATACATATACAATAATAATTATTTTTAATGGCATCTTCCATTTTTTCAATTAAAAAAATATGATAACAAAAATCAAATTTTCAACTGTCTAGGAAGAAGAATATACACATAACGTACATAACCATACAAGACTTTGTACAGTACCTTTTCCAATACTTCCATTGACATAGAAAGTAACATAATGGTCTTGACACTCTGAAACAAAATTGAATAACAAAGTCAGGCTTCGTTTTATTTATCAATGCTGATAAACAATTACATACATATTCAGTTTCATTCAAATGAATTTGATTTAACATATCCACGCTATCCATGACATTACCCTCCGCTGATCGAGATTCTACATGGCTCGCTACATCATCCCTACAACAGAAAATTGAAAACGCTTTTAAAAATCTTCATTCCTCCAAGCAATAAATAAGGAGTTGCTTTGTGTTTTGTTGAAATATAAAATTTTGATTTTAGAACAAGTGGCTGATTAGCTATATGGAGTGAAAGTTGTTGGCAAACATATGTTTAACTGTTTTTGAAAAAGATTTTTCTAACCTCTTGTGATTATTTTAACACCTACCAGTTTCCAAATCCATACTGCTCTACTGCATCTAAGAGCATGGTTTCCTCTGCTAGACTCCATGTTCTTGCTATGTCAAATGCACCAATGGGACTGTCATCCTGTAAAGATAATCAATATAAAGACAAAATACATTTTTATTTCTCGCTTAGAATTTACTCACCATGTTGGCATTTAGAACTTTCAGGATTTTTGGTAGTAAACTGTTATCTAAAATTATCTGTCCCCGTTTAATGTGTTTATTTTGCTTGTTCACTGACAACACACAGAACAAATTCTATTGTTCAAACGGATCCGTAGGACGTACAGTAATATTTTACAAGAAAACTTTCAATCTGGGGGGAAAAAACAAAAATTGAAGCTAGTAAGAGGTTAAAGATGGAGTTTTCTTCTTTTAGTTGTTAGTATATGAATTGATAACATATATTTTTTTAAACTTTGAGGAGCAAGCATGAAATGAAGAAAAAAAATCTCGAGGGCACTTACACTTACCAGAATTTTGTAGCTGTGGTCACGTTTATGAGAACCAAGTTCAGCGCCACATGAGAAACACTAAAAAATATAAACAAACGCTCAAAACATTGAAAATTACTTTAACACATTTAAAAAAATCCGCGAATTCTATATAGAGCTGTGACGTCAGCCTACCTGTAAACAAAGGTCAATGTCGACACATTCAGCACACTGCGCTCTGTACCCCGAAATATCACTCTGGCAGTAACTACATCGATATTTAGCCATCTCGATGTGGTCTTTGATATTTATATATATTCCATAAGTTAATATTTCGGGGGAAAGCAACAAAAATAAACAAATTTGGCCTGCTTTACTGCCTACTCCCCATCTTTCTCGTACAGCGCTGTGACGTCAAATTTCCCATAATGCAACACCAACTTCCTTACGCTAAAATCCCAGGGCAAATTCACAGCATTTCTCCACCCCTGATAGTCGTTTATGAAAATTAGGAAGCTACTTATAGCTGCACAATTGCCTTCTGTTCTTTAAAGTGATAAGTAATGTGGATATCAACTCACTTCCGCTGTAATTTCAAAATGCTTTGTCATGTGGCACGGATCTAAGAATTTCAAAAAGCCAGGGGCTGCATAGATCATGCATATGCCGCTTGGGTCCAAAGGCCGTAAGAATGCCTCGCAAACATTTTTGAATTTAAAAAGAACTACCGTGGGAATAAAAGAATATTTCCATTAATGAAAAAAAAAATAGTGCAAACTTTTTTTTTCAAAAATGATCGTTGAATGACAAAAATATGTGGCAAGTCATCAGAAAAAAAAATATAAGATATGAATTTATTTTTTGAGAGTTCATGAATGAACTATAACGCTTCACCAGTTCACGCCGCGCCTGCATATTTATCATGATCGAAGCGCTAGTATTAACGCGCTTCATGAAATATGCCGGTGTAACGACGAAAAGTGACCCCCGTAGAATATTGACCGGGGGTCATTTTTCTACGTAGAAATTTGACCCCCTGGTCAATATTCTACGTAGTAAAATGACCCCCTTTTTCGTAGAAATTATGGCCTGGGGGTCATTTTTCTCCGTGTGGGTTGTAGAAAAATGACCCCGTAGAATAATGACCCCGTGTCTTTTTTTAATACAAAAAACTGGTTTTGGTAGGAATATTCTTGTTAGGCAAATACATAGGGGTAAAATCACGCAGCCTAAAAGCTTTAAAGTTTAAGTAACAAAAGGTTACACTATACCTTACATGTACATCAATAATACAAGATGTTTTATCCCATTATAGGAAATCAAATAACTATAGGCTGTTATGCTGTTCGATGACTATAAGAGCAAAAATACACGTGTTCTTAGATTTGTTTTATCAAATTTTATATTAAAAAAAGTTTCCAGAGTCGTCATTTAAAAAAAAACAAGATTATTTACTTAACTGGTGTCAGAGAGAGAAATTTATATATGAATAAAAATGCATGGTTTCTGTGTAAAATTGTAACATTATGATCCTCTTTAAATTTTACTCTGGGTAAATAATGTAAAAAAAAAAAAAAAAAAAAAAAAAAAAAAAGAATGAAAATAAAGTCTCAAGGGTTTTTTTCTGAAGTTACAAGAAAGATTTATGTTTTCGAATCCTACCCAAATAAATCTGCGTGAAAAAAGGACAATTGTTAAGAAAATTAGATCTCATATACATCTTTGATTTTCTGGTAAAAAACTTCTAATAAAAAAATAAGCAAGATTAAATTTGTGTAAAAATAACAGACAGGACTAAATCAAAATTCCTCTGATATTCGATCTCAGAGACACAAAGAATGGTTAGCTCGAAATCTTTACCAATGTCTTTTGTCGTTTGCTAGTGTCAACAAAGCCTATAAACAAAATGAGGCTTTTTACATAAAAAAAATTAATTAATTAATTAATAAAAGAGGTGCTTGTATACTAAGAATTGACACAAGTTTATACACAGTAGTACGTATTTTCCCTTTCTAGTTACATGTAATAATTTTTACCAATAGAAAAAACCGAATGTTGCATTATGAAAAAGCTTCCCTGCCTAATTTGCATATTATTTTTTCCCTAAGTATGATTGGCAATATTAGCACAATTGAAGTTGCGTTTGCAAGACTACATAGAACTGTGCCAAAAAATATTGTTCAAGTACGTGATTCGTGTCAGCGTATCTATAGTGGTAAGTTTTGAGGGAGTGGGTAACGAGGATGTAACCCACTCTTTAAATTTGCTAGCCTATAGAAAAAAAATCTGGCCATGTCTTTCCTATGCACAAATTAAGCGATCTTGCTGTTTGATAGGAGGTTTTAAAAATATGAGTTTTTAGGATAAAAGTAAACAATAATCTTTTTTTCTTACATTAGAAATCCTACTTATAAAGGAGCTACATAATGCATATCGTGCATGATGATGTAGATTATACATGTATCTATATAATGATCAAGGAAGGGGAGTATATTGCCAGTATTTCTTTCACAATCGGAGGGCACTCCTAAACAAAAATTTACTATAGTAAACTATACGAGGGTTGTCCGTCAAAATCGTGGACAAAGCGTTTTTCTCGAAAAAGAACGGGCGCACTAAGCTGAAATTTTCAACAATTGTTTATTTATCATATTTAAGTGCATCGTAATTTTTTGGATAAAATATGGACAAAAGCAAAGTGTTTATTATGCTTGAATGTACACAGGGTACGGTCCTACGGCGCACGATGAATAAACCAGGGTTTCCTTTGAAAATACATGAGTATTATTTCGAAATAAAAGTACTAAATAGATAAGGTTGGGGCAAAAATTATCCTATTTTTAATCCACTATCTATTATGTCGTCTTTTGTAAATTTTTAAGGCATTTCCTTAAACTTTGGCAGTTTCCCGAGCATTTGAAATGGGAAAGTGGTAAACGCAACAAGCGAAAAATGGCGATGTTTGGTGACGTTACGGCGCATCGGAGAGCAGTTCCATTTGATTACGCCCTAAGAAACTTTAAATGACTAAAGAAGAAAAAAAAATTTAAAAATATTACTAGATTTTAATATACAAGTGAAATGGGAGTTTTCTAAGCGGAAGCTTTTTGATCGGGTCCCCGGGTAGAACGAAACATACCAACAAACAGCTACTGGCAATAGCAAGAGACGCTGTCACTGTAGATCATCGATATAAGACAGCCTATTTAGTTGAATGATAGTGAGAGTACTGTCCATAACTTACTTATAAATCTTCAGAAAGTTCCATGTGTGTGTGAGATTGGTTCCTTGACCGTTTATATATGGAGGAATAAAGGGGAACTCAAGTATGTGCATCAATGAAATTTCCGAATTTAAGTGGGGCTTACCTAACTTTTTTTAGCAAAGAGGAAACGTGACGCTGCTTTATACACTTTGACGTTATCATACTTGCGCCGTAAGGCGATACCACACATAACATAAAGTCTCATATTTTGTTTATTTGAGCATATATCTATTTGAAATTTGCTATGTATATTGATGAAAAGTGTACTAGAAAATAGTGAAAATTTTAGAATGTAGTGATGATTATTTTTTACTCTAGACAACTTGTCCACGATTCTACCGAACAACCCTCGTAGTTAACTATAGTTTACTATTATTAACTATAGTAAATACTTTGATACTTTGATTAACTATGAAACTTTGTTTGGAACTTTTTTGAGATTTCAAAGCTGAAACTTTCTTAAATTGATATCGGTAATGTAAAATTTTGGGATGATATGTAAATGAACAAGAAATACGAGGGTAATCAAAAAGTTCACGAACTAATTGAATTACTTCCATAAAAGAAATAAAATCATATTTCGATGTTTATTATTTTTTAAAGTGGTCCTTTCCGATTTGAATGCACATCTGCCATCGTTCTCACAGGATGAAATTACACCACTCAGTCGATGGAATGGTAACTGAATGGCCACTGAAAGGTCACTGAAAAGTTCCTTTCCCGTGACTTTTCCGTGGTCTTTCAGTTACCATTCAGTCGACTGAATGGCAGATACATTTCAGTTATCTTTCAGTTGTATCTTTTTATTGAATAATCGGCTAATTTTTTAACTTAGAAATTTTATTTCACGTTTTCTTATTATAATGGATCTGCCCATGCGCGAATCACGTGATCCAGGCGTTCACGTGACATGCTCCGTAGCGTTCTGTTCACAGAAATTAAAAGATTTTTCCGAGTTTTATATTTCTAACCATGTGAGTTATTTTTTATAACAAGAATAGCCCATTTGTCACAAATAGGATTGGCGGATTAGGATATCTTTTCCCAGAATGAGCATAGTGACCATCACAACCCGACTCTTTTGTATTGGGGTGCGTCGTTTATCCATTGTGGATAAAGTATGGGTGCCTTTATGTTTAAAATCTAAGGTAAACGATATTTTAGGGATTCAATAATTATATTATTGTTAAGATATTCAACTATTTTTCTTACTGTAATTTGGCGATCTTTCGTTACAGATTGCTCAACTAAGGACACATCTCTCCAAGCTTGGTTTCACTGGGCACCAGAACAATCATAATTTTTACCACCTCCCTTCCTTCACTAAAACAATCAATCCAATTAATGATTGAACTTCTGCCATGTCTTTTTGTCTTCATAAATCGTGTACAAATTATTATATGCTACTGAAAAGGAATTTCTAAGATAAATGTTAAGCCGTTCGTTGATCAAGTACGACTGAGTAAACCATTTTTTGTCACGTCACTACATATCGAGTCATTTTTATATTGTGACGTCCAAATGTGGAGCAAATATCTGCTATTTATAGAACATGTTTATGACTAAATGTGTGCCAAATTTCATTTTGATCTGATCTGTGGTTTTGTAAATAACGAGATAGTTTACGAACTTTTTGATCACCCCTCGTAGTGCCCTAAAATATGAAAAAAAATGTTCACATATAAATATAAGAACATAAAATATCACAATCATATATCCAAAAAAAAAAATACTTTGATTTACTATTATAATAGTAAAAACTTGATACTGCATTAAACTATAGTTAACTTTGGTAAACTATAGTTTTTTTTTGTTTTTTTTTTGTTAGAGACTATCAGTGTTTTTCATATAGCGATCCTGATACAAACAATATATATAGTGTTTCATAGTTAACGTTATTTAGATACATTCGTTTTTCCCTACAATAGAGATAATATAATTCTACAGACATTAATTGTGAGTACACAAATTACAGGGGAAACAAGAAATTTATGAGCTAGTGCTTTCTAGTGATACCCCTCCCGCACAGACAGACGGACAAGATTTGTACCAAAATGAATATCACTGTATAGCATGCCGAACCAAAGAGTGTGTTAAAATTTCAAGCATCTGCGATGAGTTGTTGCAGCGAAAACTGCAACGAAAAAAAATGTTTCGGACAGACAGACACAAACACTCACCCAGCAAACACAACAGAGAGATTCGCAGGGTACAAG